TTTCTTCACTGAGCCAGCTCACACAGCATCATGGGATCTCCCCTAATTTAAGAATTAACACCAAAGATATATTAGGAGAACAAGGCACTCGAAACAATGAGGTGTTTTAGTGATTTATTGTTTTCCAGGATTTTTCCAAAGAAAAATTTGTGTCTAAAACCATTTTGGCTGAGAAATAACTACCTGGCCAAATTAAGGAAGCAGAAGAGACATTAAGAAGCTGAAGGAATTAAAGGGTGGGCACAGGACCATTGTGTTGTCAGGAGGTTAATGGATATCATAGGCAGTGAGGTTGAATTTCCCAATAATAAAGATAGTGGTTATTGATGGCAGATGCAGACGGTCAGGAAATTCCACCTTCAGATTGTGAGGACCCTCCACCACAAACATATCTTTCTCCACTCTCACTTTTAACTGAAGAGAGAAAGAAAAAAAGGAATCAGTCAGCAGCTCATTATGAAGGAAATTGCCTATAAATAAATAAAATAATTAAATAAAGTGATAAATAGTTGAAGGCCAAATAACTAAAACATGAAATGTACAGAAATAAAATAAAAATAGGAATTCTAAACTGTATACAGAAATAACATTTAACAGGAAATCTGAACTTTAATTCTAAGTTAAACAGGGCTCTCTCAGTATTTAAAATTGCATAAATATGTATGATTTTATAATAGATTATGGTGCTTGCTGGAATGAAACATCAGTACGATGTTGAACCCAGATCTATTAACAATGTGCCTATTGCACTACATTTGCTGAACAGGGTAAAGATAATTTATCATTGCCCAACTAAACGCCTTGCAGTGAGCTGTTGCAAAATTTATTATTTTATATTTGTTACAGTATTGTAAGTGGTGTCATTTTAAAAAATCCTTTTGTTTATATTCACTGTGTTATAAACGCAGTAAAAAGTAGTGACTTTTCAATACATCATACGATGTTTCATACCATGTATTTTTCCATACAATTTGCAAAACCTGTGCATTCTTTTTACATCACAGCAAGCACCTTTTGTATTATTTTGCTTCACTTCTACTCTTGTCATGAGATACTAGGACTAGACTTGAAACTGTGTCGCCACAGACCTGTCTAAAGTCAATCCAGCCTCTTCATAGCATCAGTGGAAACACCACAAACCCAGATGGTCAATCTGAGGTCCACCTCAAGAGGGCTCATGGGAATGGGGTCGTGTATTAAAGAAGTCTCATCTTAATTGCACAACATCATATAAAAAGCATTACTTACTTTGAAACTAAGTATTTCAAGTAGTTTATTATTTAAAGTATCTTTCATGAAGACACAATACCAATGTGAAAGTATGTTTAATGTGAGATTAATTTCCATGCAGTCAAGCAGTATTTCACTTGTGTGTGTTGAGGGAGGGTATATTAGTGCTTCACACCTAAACTGAAAAAAAATCATGTCCAAAACTAAATTTGAATTTCTTTATTCACTTTGTAACACACATTGCAATGGCAACTTAAAAGTCACTGAACTC